CCTTGCTGTCGCGCTGTATTTGTCAGGTCAAAGGTCGCTGACCTTTGACTTTCGCGTAACCTCCAACAGTTTTTCAACCTCCGAGGGTTGACTCGCCGATGCTTCGCTGTGTTTCGCTTCGTTTACAGCTTAGTGCTTTGACACGACAGAGGCGCTTAAATCACTTGTTTCCAACAAGATGTGCCGCCGCAAGGTAATCCTGAAGTACTTTGCTGCGGATTATATTGCGCCCGTCGGTGTGCCGAATCTTTAGTTTCTGTCCTGTATGTCGTTGCGCCTGAATATGCAAAGCCAAAAAAACTTCGTATGCACTGCTTCAAAACATAATAGTGGCCACCCAGGAATATCGCGTGTTGGTGTCGACGAAGGTGAGAGTGTTGTTAAAGTTTAGAAGAAAGAAGAGAATTTGACTAGCAGCAGTTGGGATACATATAGCAAACCCTAACAGGGTTGTACTCACTATAGAGCACCCCACTACATGCTAGATAAGAACATTCTGACACACCCCCATAGCCAAAGTGGGGTGTAATCAGCAGAGCAAGCAGGCATAGAACAAGCTCAGGGTGGATCACAATGTCACCACACATTCTGAGCACAAGTTTAAGAAGCAACAGTTTAAAGGTTCACAAATATGAGCAAAGCTAGAGCTAATCACAGCCGACAAGTGAGGAGGAGGAGGAGCTGTGGGGGAGAGAAGATGGGAGGCGACTGCTGACGCCGCAGACAAACAGACGAGCTGCTGGCTCAGTGGCTACCGGAACAGCGCTCCGGACTACTGGAGTAACTGGCCCCGCGGCTAATAGTAGCGGCAGACGAGCAACGGACCCACGGGCGACTGGCGACTACCGGAGATTGTAGCCTCCGGACTGCTGCTGCTGCTGCTGGCGACAAGACTGCTGCCTCCACTCGACCTCCCCCAACTGTCCCACACTCTCGGCACATGCCCACTGCTCAAACCCTAGCTCCACTCCTACGCACCCCCCTTAAACCCTAAACCCCAGTCTCCCACTCATCCACCCCCCTCAGCGACAGCTGCAGCAGTGGGAGACGAAGGAGGAGGAGGAGCAAAGGGAGGAATGCACAACTGCCACCCCCATACTCGCCACCCCCTACTCGCCATCCCCCAGGCCCCCGAAGGAGCCGCGACGGGCGACGGGAAAAGGGTGGGGGGGGGGGGGGGGGCGGTGCCGTAGGTAGGGCGACGGAGCCGGGCCGTAGGTAGGGCGACGGGACGACGGGGCCGCAGATAGGGTCGCCCGAGCCGCGCGCAGGCGGCCCAAGCCGCGCGCGGGCCTGGCGCCGCCCGTACGGGTCGCGCGTAGGCCTGGCGCGGCCCGTACGGGCCGCGGACGGGTCTGGCGCGGCCCGTACGTGCCGCGCGCAGGCCACGACGGGCGACGGGGGGCGACGCGGAGGTCCCCGTCGCCCGTCGCAGCGCCTCCCGGGAGCGGCGCGCGGCGTGACGGGGCAGTAACCCGCCGCGCGCCTCGGGGCGCACGGCGGGAAGAGAACCGCTGCGCGCCTCGGGGCGCACGGCGGGCAGAAAACCGCCGCGCGCCTCGGGGCGCACGGCGGGATGAAAAAGCTGCCGCACGCCACGGGGCGTGCGGCACAGAGAGTAGTGATAGCAGTAGCAGTAGGAGTTGCAGCGGAAGTAACGAGGTGGTAAGTCCACCCACAGGATCGATCCAAGCGGATCGACCTGCTCTGATAGCATGTTAAAGTTTAGAAGAAAGAAGAGAATTTGACTAGCAGCAGTTGGGATACATATAGCAAACCCTAACAGGGTTGTACTCGCTATAGAGCACCCCACTACAGGCTAGATAAGAACATTCTGACAAGTGTATGTTTTGTAATTGATCTCGTTGGAGCCAACAACAATGAAGACTGCATAGACCTTTTGTAATCTCGAATAACGGTAAATGCCATGTCAATGTAACGGGGCGAGTTGATGGGTAAGCGTGGTTCCGGGACAAACGATCGAGACGTAGAGTTGGCTGGTGGACTTTAGTTGCGTGCCATCCTGGCGTAGCATGGACCGGGGATGAAGATTTCAGCATCTAGCGATCTTTTTAGCATCGTTGGAAACCATACGGTCAAATGTAGCACTTGCACTGCTTCCCAAGTGTTTGATGGATTCTGATGCCGTGTTCTTGGTGAATTTTGGTGCCTTTGGTGTGGCACGACCCTTCTAGTTCAGGCTCCGATCGAAAGAGAATGAGCGAATTCGGTCCTTAAATGTTCTCCGAGACTGGCCGTTTGTTGTTATAACAAACACGAACATAGTCTGGATCATAGGTTGTTGGTGTGAGAAAATACAGACTGGTCGGATTGGAACCTTAGGCAATCGCACGGGATTGTTATCGCTAGGGTCATTGGTGATTCTTTAGGTTGTGGTATTGCTTGCGGTGGAGGGAGACCAAGTGCAGCAATAGCATGTTTAGTTGCCTCTGCAATTCCCCCCCCCTTTGTCCTTCACGGTTGTCTGCGGAGCCCCGTGTGTTAAAGTTGGGGCCTTGATTTGTGTTGCCTCCTCCCGAGCCTCCTTAATCTGACCCTCAACCTTAGTCGATGTCTATCCTCCTACCTTCATACCTTCCTCAGCTACCGCCTGTGTTGTTGCCCCAACCCGTGTCACTTGGGGTGATGCGACGGCGGCGTTCGTCACTTTCTTTGCGCAATTCTCCTGCTTCTTGGCGCGCTTATTCTTCTGCTTCTTGGCGCGCTTATTTTTTTCCCTTTTGTAGGATGAATATTATGCCTTGGTCGTGCTAGTGGGAGTACAACAAGTGGAGGTCAACTAGTCATATGGGTGTGTCAGAATCCCAACCATTAGACCATTGGGATAAAAGGGCTTGTTTCAGTAGCGGGTCAGTGCGCCCATAACCCCACAGGCGAATGCGCCTATAACCCTCTCTAGGATCAATCGGGCATCCACAGTGCAGATCTACTGACAGGGTGATGTTGGTTTTGTTTGTTGAATGCCACACAGTTTCGTGTGGCTACGGAAAATAGTTGTGTGCGTTCGGAATCGGTTTTGTGGTGATCGTGGATGGCGGTACTCATTATTGAGACCACGGCGGTGCGGAGTTTATTCCAAAGCATCCTTCTCCGAGCAGTCTTTGCCCCTGTGTCTTTCCGATTGTCTTCAGTCATGTGCTGGCGACATTGCTTATTGATGCTTTAAAGTGTGTGGCAACCACGACAAATTCCATCTGGTATAGGATTGTGAATATTAGCCACGTGAGGGTAAGCATGACGCGGCACCCAAGGTCTGCCGTCTGGGTGAGTCGAATCGAACTGCATTTTCTCACGGAAGCGCAGCGGGACGAGACCGATTAGCTCGTTGGCATCTCCGTTGCAATCGGGTGCACGTAAACCCATTTTGGGCTTAGTGCATCGGAGCTATTGTCGTGTTGGGTTGACGGCACTGTGATAGAGTTTGGTGTTGCATTACGGAAGGTTGTTGCTATGTTATACTCCGTAGTCAATCGGTTGAGAGGGGCTGGCTTTAGGTTGACGCACGGGCTGCGGATGATCAACACGACGCATAACGCCTTTAGCATGACAATGCATTGCGCTCTCGCCGATTCTTGTTGTTTGTTACGGTAATGTAAGATATTGCGAACGATGGGATGGCATTCCATATAAACTGCCGTGACCAGACCATGTGTTGTCTGCAGCATCTTTCAAGGTACCAGGTCTTTATATTGTCGTCACCGTCGCTAGGTGTAGAGTGGCGAGTTGTTGGATTTTGCCCCTGTTTAAAAAACCCTACTGCGTGTTCCGGTTCGCAATACATATATATGATGGAAATTGTGAAAATAAAAGTTTGTACATTGAACTGTACATGGATGTAATATGAATGATGAACATTTTGCAAGGGACTATTTTATTGCAATTAGGTAGTATTCAGGAGCTCATACGAGTATACGCATCAGCTCACTGAGGTTCTTCGTACAGAGTATGTGCATAACGAAGACAGCCCAGATGTCCTTGCACCTTGACAGTTTCGGTGGGGAAGTTTCAGAATCAGGCTCGGCAAGCGGCGGCACGTACGCGGAGGCGCAGGTCATGGGTCAAGGGCCAACATCCCATCCGCTCCTATCGGACGGTCCGTCAAGCCTAACCGTTTGAGGGATAAGGCAGATTGTGTCTGTGATTGGCTGCCGCCAATTGCCGCGAGAAATTCCTGTCACATAAACAGCACCGGGACTGCCGCCGACAATCCGTCCCGTCAGTCGGGGACAGAGGTGGAGGGTCTGCCAAGGTGGAGCCCGGCAAACGCCCCCCGTTATTGTATCACCCACGGCGGAAGCTAGCAGCGGTGCGCAGCAGCCGAGCCTACAGGTTGGTCGAACAGCGGAGCAAGATTCGCAAATGGGAAGAACCAAGGTGGAATCCAACGAACCAGATTGCAGGACTACAAAATGCGGAGTTTCCGAGGAGAGTCGCTGAAACCAAGGTGAGGAGGTAAAACGAAAAGCGGAGTTCCCCAGCAGAGTTATTTTTTTGTCAGCGGATTCAAGTTCCAGTAGTAGAGTTCAGGGAGGGAGTTTCGGAAGGTGAAACCAGAAGCAATTCCAGCTTCGTTCTCTGGGATGCGTAGGTTGGTAGGCAGGCAACCATCACTTGTAGGCGGTTCTGTCCCATCCATCGTCAGGGAGTTCTCTCGTTCTGCTGGTTTCCTTAGTTCCGGTTGACCGAAGTGACCGAATTTTGTGTTGCTGTAATCAGGATGCCACATTAGTTACTCGAGCAAAGCCTTTCCGAAGTTCACGTAATAGCTGTTTGGCATGGGTATACCCCGCCGGTCAGCATACACGAGGTTCGTAGACCAATCAGACAGCGACAGCTCTCCAGGCTCCTCCAATCCCTCCTCCCCATTATGCCAGAGCAATCCCTATCGGTTCACCTCCGCGAACCTACACACCCCAGAGGACGCCAAATCGCTCCAAACCGAATGGAACCTGTATCAGATGCAATCCCCATCCCCGCCCATGCCCCACGCCCTAGCTCCCGTAGTTGAAGCCGAGAATGACGCGCAAGAGCTTGAGCTCGGGGGAGAACAAGGGGAGGCGCAAGCCCTTTGCAACGATAGAGAGGATGGCGGAGGGGAGGCGGAAGGCGTGGGCGGAAGCGGGAGTGGCGGAGGATGGGGGGAGCGGAGAGCGCAGCTGCTGCAGCTCGGAGCGGCCAGCTGGGACAGGCTGGTGCCGCGGCGAGTGCGGAGAATCTTCGGGCAGGGAATCATGCCGCGCGCGTGGGGGTCGCAAGGGCCGATATTCGGGCTCGTGGACCGGCAAACCACGCCCGCATCGGCATGGGAGTGGTGCGTGCTCGTGCGGTGGCTGCGGTTAATTAGCTGGGAAAATCAGTCGTATGCTGTTGCGCTTGTAACACGTTCATTCGGAACGAATTTGGTTGCCGCGACGCCTCATTGCCGTTTTCCCACTCGCGCTGCCGTTCCCAGCAAACGAGTCAACTCGTGGAAGTTTCGTCGCATGGGGAAGTTGACTTTCCGCCGCCATCCGCTCTTACGACTGGTGGTTCAGCGACCATAAGAGCATTCCTTTTTTCCCTTCTCCCCTCACACAGACTATTAGATACGTGGAAGTCTCGCCGCGTGGGCAGTTGGACTTCTTCCGCTCGTGCGGGCAGTGGTTCAGCTACCATACGAGCATTTCCTTTCCCCTCCTCGCCCCTTTTTTTCCCTCACACAGGCTAGTTGACACGTGGAAGTCTCGCCGCGTGGGGCGGTTGGATTTCCTCCGCCACCCGCTCGTGCGGCCGGTGGTGCAGCTGCCGACGGAGGCGTTCGTGGGGCTGCTGTTCTGGACGAGCCTCATGGCTTTCGTGCGCTCCGTGTACTGGTTCATGCTCGCCGCGCAGGGCCTCACGTCACACATCCTCCTGCTTGGTTACCTGCTCGTCCCAGGTAGGGCTCCATTCAGTCAGGTGCTCCCCGCGCAGCGTGTACTGGTTCATGCTCGCCGCGCAGGGCCTCACGTCACACATCCTCCTGCTTGGTTACCTGCTCGTCCCAGGTAGGGCTCCATTCAGTCAGGTGCTCCCCGCGCAGCGTGTATTGGTTCATGCTCGCCGCGCAGGGCCTCACGTCGCACATCCTCCTGCTTGGTTACCTGCTCGTCCCAGGTAGGGCTCCATTCAGTTAGGTGCTCCCCGCGCAGCGTGTACTGGTTCATGCTCGCCACGCAGGGCCTCACGTCGCACATCCTCCTTCTCGGCTTTCTGCTCGTCCCAGGTAGGTTTCCATTCGATTTGATGCTCGTCGCACAGGGCCCCACGTCGCACACCCCCCGCCTCGTCTACTTGCTCGTTCCAGGTAGGTTGTCGCAGTCGAATAGATACTCGTCGCAGAGAGGTCGTCGCAGTCGCCTGCAGCTCGTTCCAGGTAGGCCGTCGCAGCGACAAACTGCTTGATTCTGGTGCTGTGCTGGCCGTTGACGCGACTTCATGGATGTCGAATCCCTACCGTCCATCGAGTTCGCGCGTCGCCCAATTGCCGGCGCCTCTTCCCCAACCCGTCTCATGCCTCGCTCTACCCGTTGCCAACGCGCCTTCGTCCCGTTATTCCTCTCCACTAATCTTTTCCCTCCTGCCTCTTCCCCCCTAACCCTTCCCCCTGCGCTTCCCCGTCGCCACATTCCCCTCTCTTAGGTCTCGTGCTAGGTCACGAGTTTCTCCACCAGCTGCTCTCCACCAATCCCGTGCTCCGAGCGCTGCTCGTCTTAGGCGGCGTGGTCGGCGTGGGCGGCAGCAGGGAGGGCGTCGAAACCACTATATGGGGGGTTGCTCTTAGCGGAGCAGGAGTTGCCATGGTAGGGTTATACATAGGGGAGGGGCTGTGGCTTGCGCCCCCTGCGCGCAGGCGGAGGGTCGGGTTCGGGCTCGCGGGGGGGCTGCTGCTGCTGCAGGCGCTGCAGTTGGCGTTCGGCGGGCGGAACCCGCTGCTCGCGCGCTGGTGGGGGCTGCTGCTGCTGGCGGTGCTCCCCGGCGCGTGGGTGGCGGCGCTGCTGCTGTATGAAGAGTTGCGGGACTGGGAAGGGGAGGAGGAGGAGGGTCGGCGGATGGTGGGCGGGAGCGGGAGCGCGGAGGGCGCGCAGGGGTACTGGCCGGCTGGGCGCGGTGGGCAGAGGTTGGAAGGGACTGTGTTGAGTGAGGATGACTGGAGTGTGGAGTCGGAGGGAGGGTGGCGGGCGGCAGAGGAGGCGGGGTTGAAGCAGTGGGATTCTGTGAACGTGTTGAATGAGGGAGGTGTTAAGAGCGGTGAGCGGTGCATGGAGATGGTTGGAGACGGTCAGGAAAGGGCGGAGTTGAGGGCAGCAAATGCAAGTTTCGTAGCAGTTACGGTTGAAAGGGCCCAAGAAGAGATGCAGCAGCAGCAGCAGCAGATGGGACAGCAACAACGGGAGGTCATTCCAGCATCAGTAAAAGCCCAAGCTGCCGAACCTGCTGCTGCCCGCCCATTCAGCACAGGCTCGGGATGCCTTGGAACGTCCTCCGAGCCTAACAGCCAGGGTTGGGGGGGCAGCGTGGACGAATCGCACGACGCCTCGTCATCGGCCTATGACAGATCACGCACTGTATCCGCCTCGGCAGCAGCAGGTGCGGGAGGGAATGCTGCCACAGGACCTGTCTGGGTGGCTGATATGCTGGGGGGGTTTATGGAGGAAGAGGAGGAGGTGGAGAACGGTGGGGAGGGCGGGACTGTGGTGATGAGTGAAAGTGATAATGACAGTAACGCTGGGGCGAGTGGAGTGGCGTGTGCGTGCCATTCCCCACACGGGTGTGAGTGTATAGGAGTGCTCTGTGCGGAGGGGACGCTTGGGGGTAAATGCAATTCCGAGGTAGAGGAAAGGGGAGTACCAGTGGAAAGAGCGGCTGTGAGAGAAGGGGAGGGGAGGGAGTGTACAGGATATGGAGGGAAGGCGGGAGCTGAGGTGCAGGGGAATGGGGAGTCAGGTCGGCAGGGAGCAGCAGGGCATGACTCGGAAGAGCAGATCGAGGGACATGGGCCAGAGCAGCAAGACGGGCGCTGCAGCGAGGGTACGCCTAAATGTAACGAGGGTTCGCTAGAAGGCAATGAGGGATACCCTGAGTGGCGGGAGCCTGCGCGGGGAGTGCTGGGGTACTTTGGCCTCGAGATTGGTTCTGTGGAGACGTCTGAAGGGAAGCTCAGAGCTGAGTGGCGCAGCAGCCGGCAGTGGGAGACGACTGTGGAGCTTAGCGAGTGCGACAGTATGGGGTACAGGGCCGACGGCCGTGTGGAGGGGTATGAGGCAGGGAACGGAGGAGGAAGAAGGGGAGAGGGGGGACGGGCAGAGGGAGGGGGAGGGGGAGGTGAAGGAGGGATGGAGACGGTTGACGGAGCAGGAGGAGGTTGTGAAGGGTTGTGTGTGGTTCGGGTGCGCAGCAGAGAACGCAAGTGCTACAACGCTTGCCAGAACCTACCTCATACCGGCCAGAGTGCGGCATGGAAGGCAGCAGCATCACTGCCGTGGGAGGGTCCGTGGGACAGACTAGGCAGTTTGGACAGAGCAGCTCTGACTCGAGAGGACGAAGAAATGCTCCCTTTTCGGCAGAAACGCGCTCACTGGACGAAGCACGGGTGCCTGCGCACGTGTCAAGCCGCCATTGGCCACGGCAGCCTCATGTTCCTCTGCCATTGGCTGCTCTCCTCGCCCTACCTGATCCCCAGATGGCTCTCTGCTCCCCCTGCCTGGGGTTTCATCTCTGTAGTGTCACTCGCTTTAGGTATAGTGCTTGCTGCAGAAGTTCTCAGAATGCATATCCCTAAGCGCGTGCATGCTATAGTGGCGTTGGCTCTTGCTGTTTCTGGGTGCATCTGGTTGCTTCTCTCCGGACCGTTCCATCCCATTCCTGCGCTTCAGGCTCGGCACGAGCCTGGGTCACGCTTCTGGCTGTCGTTTTCCCAAGCCAGTGGGTATGTGTCAGACGAGCCTCAGGATCTGGTCTACCTTCCTGGGCCTGTTACCGGACCTGTTGCCGGACCTCCTGCTGCTGCCTCGACATCGCAAGTTAGCACATCCACATTCTCCGAACCAGCAGCAGTTGCAGCCAGAGCAGCAGCAGCAGCCGAAGCTGCAGGTTTCCGATCCTATCTTCTTGGTGCTCCGCTCCTAGCCATGGCAATCCCGAGCCTGTGGGTTGTGCTGGCACAAAATATGGGTGGGGCGTATCCGGGCCTAGGAGCAGCAGGTTCGGCAATCTGGTATGTTGTCCTGCTGGTTTGGAGTGCAGCCTTGGTGGCATACGAAAAGCTCGGACCTCTTGGCTTGCTTCGGGGGAGCTTGCCGGTCCTAATGGTGGTGGCGATGGGAGGAGTGGCTTGGGGAATATGGCGGGCCCCTGAACCTAAAGGCGAGGGACGGCGGGGCGACCTGGCGGTTCGGACGGAGTGGTGGAGGCTCGGGCGGCTCGCGTGGGGCAGCGGCGTCCCGGATCGAATGGTTAGGCTCGTTGCCCTTATCCTTGTTGCTTTCCTCATGTCTCTCTCACAGGGGACCTTGTCATTTCGGTCTAAATAACAGGGAGAGCTGGGAAACAGAGGAAGGGAAAACCAGGGGAAACAGGCAGCACGAGCTGAAAACATGCATGGATTTTAGCCCAAGGGAGGGTTCCTTCATGTCAAGGGACGGAGGGAGGGGCTCCCTTTGACGGTTGACCTCATCTCTTCCTCTCTTTCTGCTCAAAGCCCCTTCTCCTGGTCCATTCAAGCAAGGCCTGTGTGGCCTCAGATTCACTTGTTGTAAGAGTCTGTAGCGGGCACTGCTCGTGCCCATGCTTTGCCACTTCTTGAGTTTATATCTTGCCTCTGCTCCTGCGACATGCATGCTCGTGAGTGTTACAGTGGCATCAGAATTGACCTGTACATACCCTGTGAGTTGAGCCTTGGTTTGGTCTAGGCGCAATAGCCTGCTGCGTTTCGTCTGGGCTGTCTAGCTGCTCCTTGCTTGTGTGGGCCTTGTTGTATTCATCCATTCATACATATACTGGCTTCATCACTATTTTTCACAAATTCTCACAAATTTACCCCGGTTTCTTTCCGTCTCTTGGAACTGATTTCCGGAATTTCACCCCTTGACGAACCTGCACCACAGAATGCTACTCTTCCATGCACCACTTGCATCACTCACATGCATCACATGCACCACATGCACCACATGCACCACTTGCATCACATGCACCACATGCACCACATGCACCATATGCACCACATGCATCACATGCACCACATGCGTCACATGCATCACATGCATCACATGCACCACACGCACCACCATCGCCTTTGGTCCTCTCTTTCTGCCTCCTCCTCAGTCCAACTCCCCTCAATTTCTTCCTCCGCCTGCCTCTCCTCCCCCTCCTTCTTGGCCCTCATTCACCTCCTCCTAATCCTTCCTCTCCCTCACCTCTTCTCCGCTTTGTTTCCCCGTCCTGTTCCCCCTACCCCTTTTCCTGCCGGGACTCCCTACCACAACAGGCGCTATTAGCTCTTCTGCTGATTCTCCTCCTCCTCCTCCCCTTCCCCCTCCTCCTTCAATACGCCTACGCCCCTTCCTCCTCCCCAACCTTCGTCAGCAGCTTCGGCAGCAGCAGCAGCAGCAGCAGCAGCACCAGCTCCGGCAGTTCTGGCAGTGCCGAGCCTGGCTCGGAGGCTTGGGTGCAGCTTCGGGTGCTCAACTTCAATGTGCAGCAGGGGTTCAGCCGTGCAGGTTCAGTGAACCTGGACGCCATCGAGCATGTCATATGGCAGCAGAAGCCGGACATTGTACTGTAAGTGGACAATGCAAATGTACTGTGAAAATAGGGCCCTACTCTGTACAATTCAGCCGTGCAGGTTCAGTGAACCTGGACGCCATCGAGCATGTGATCCGGCAGCAGAAGCCGGACATTGTATTGTAAGTATTGTACTGTACGCGCCACTGTGCAAAACGTATTGTTGGTATGGGCCCCTACAGTGTACAGTTCAGCCGTGCAAGTTCAGTGAATCTGGACGCCGTTGAGTGTATGATCTGGCAGCAGAAGCCGGACATTGTATTGTGAGTACACATAGGTCACCATGCTGACTGTGCTTTATTCAGCTTGACGATTGGCGATGGTGACCCTCATTTACTGTCGTTCACCATTCTTTCCACGTGGGTCACCATGCACATGACCCATGCACATTATTGGCACACGGCAATGCTGGAGTCGATGACTCGCATTCTTTCAACGCGGCTCAGCGTGCTCTCCTGATTGGCACATTTGTTTTCATTCTAATATTTCGACACCGTCCCCCCATGGCAGGCTGCAGGAGTCGGACACCATGCACATGATCCGCGGCAGTGTTGACTCTGTCTGACTATGTTTGACCATGTTTGACTGACCTTGACCTTGACGTACCGCCTCTTTCCACGTGCCCCCATGGCAGGCAGGCTGCAGGAGTCGGACACCATGCACATGATCCGCGGCAATGTTGACTCGGTTAGACCATGTTTGACTGACCTTGACCTTTTTTTTGCCTTCTCCTTCTCCATTCTTGTCCCCCATGGCAGGCTACAGGAGTCGGACACAATGCACATGATCCACGGCAATGTTGACATGGTGCAGTACCTCGCAACATGGCTGGGCATGCACGCGTGGTCCGCCCCTCCCGCCCGCCACCAGTCCTGGGGCTGTGCCATCCTCTCGCGCTTCCCCCTCCTCTCCGCCTCGCCCTCCCAGTCCCTCCCCTCCCCTCATGGCGAGCTCGCCTGCTTTCAGCACGCAGTGATTCTCCTAGGCGCTGGTAACATGCTTCCCGGAGGTGGTAACATGGTTACCAACAGGGGCGCAGCTGGGTGGGGTAACCAGACGAGTGGGGTCGTGTCTGGTTACCCTGTTCACATCATGAACGCGCATTTCAGCGATCTTGAGGTGGATATTCGGTTGGAGGCTGAGCGGGCGGCGTCGCTTGTCCGTAGTGTGCTGCAGGCGGGAAAGGGCGGGGAGCATGGTGCGGGAGGGGAGGGTGAGAAGGAGGATAAAGCGGAGAGAGAGGAGAGGAGGACTCAAGAAGTGGGATTCCCAAGGGGAATGGGAACAGCAGGTGAACTGTCAGGTGGATTGGCAGGTGAACTCCCAGGGGAACCGTCAGGTGAATTTTCAGGTGAAGCAGACGATGGAACAGCAGATTTTGCTTCACATTCCCCCGTGCATGATGTGGTGGAAGCAGAGTCAATGGCAGCAGAGTCAGGGACGGCAGTCGTGCCAGGGGCAGCAGTAGCTGCTGGAGCAGTACCAAAGAGCAGCTCATTCAGTGGCATGCAAGCAACAAGCAGTGCAGCCGCGGATGAAACTGAGGAAGATGCAGGAGGGGAAGAGGCTTTGCAGGATCCTGTTTCAGGGGCAGACGGCGAGACAGCAACAGTGGCAGCAGCGGCAGCAGCAGCAGGGGCAGAGGGAGCAGCAGGTTCGGTGGCAGCACCAGCGTCAATAGCAGCTTCAGACGCACAAGCAGCATCAGCATCACACGAAGATTCGGGCTCACAAGCAGCATCAGCATCACAAGCAGCACCAGCCCCTACATCCACCACCAGCCACCCACTCGCTTCATCCCTCCCCTCCACCCCCACTCCCCCACCAACACCCTCCCCTTCTCACTCTCCCACCCCCACCGCCCTCATCTTTGGAGGAGACTTCAATCTTCCCCCGCTCTCTCCGCCCTACCTCTCTCTCCTCGCCCCGGGTCTCGTAGACTCAGAGGCTGAGAGGATGGGCGCGTGGAAGAGCATGGGGGACCGGGACCCGGGGGCAGGGTATGTGTTTGTGTCGCGGGGGAACGTGGAGTGTGAGGCGTGGGCAGAGCCGAGGTATGACCAGAGGAAGACGTCTGATGGGTACCCTGTTGTGGTGGATGTGAGGGTCACTCTCCCTGCTGCTGCTGTGTGAGAAGGGGCAGTAGGAGTGTGGTTTCTGGCACAGGATGCGGAGTATGGAAGGTGGTTTTAGGGGAGAAGAGGGGGAACGTGGAGTGTGAGGCGTGGGCAGAGCCGAGGTATGACCAGAGGAAGACTTCTGATGGGTACCCCGTTGTGGTGGATGTGAGGGTCACTCTCCCTGCTGCTGCTGCTGTGTGAAAGTCCTGTGTGAAAGAAACAGCAGGAGTGTGCAAGGTGGTTTCCAAGGGAGGGGCTGGGTGGAGTGTGAGGCGTGGCGGGGTGACTTTTGAGTCGACTCAAAAGTGTGCAAGGTGGTTTCCAAGGGAGGGGCTGGGTGGAGTGTGAGGCGTGGCGGGGTGACTTTTGAGTCGACTCAAAAGTGTGCAAGGCGGTTTCCAAGGGAGGGGCTGGGTGGAGAGTGAGGCGTGGCGGGGTGACTTTTGAGTCGACTCAAAAGTGTGCAAGGTGGTTTCCAAGGGAGGGGCTGGGTGGAGTGTGAGGTGTGGCGGGAACCGAGGTACGACCAGAGGAAGATGTCTGATGGGTTTCCTGCGGTGGTGAATGTGCGGGTGTCGCTCCGTGCTGCTGTACGAGGGGGGAGGACACCCGAGGGCAATCAAACACACTCCCTGCTGGTGTGGCGTGGTGTCTTGGCTAAGAAAGGAGTGGGAGAAGAGAAGGAGGCAGAATAAGGCCGGAACGGGTTTTTTTGTCATCCCTGCGCTCGCTGGGTGACTGATGATGGGTGATGCGGTGGTGTGTGGGTGTACACTTTCCAGGCAATGACTGGTGTGTGGGTGTGAACTTTCCAGACAATGACTGGTGTGTGGGTGTACACTTTCCAGGCAATGGGGCTTACTGCAAGCAAGTAAGCAAGCGAGTGGTGGCAGTTGGAGGCGGGTACTCATGCTTGAGAGAAGCATTGGATCAGAGTGGAGTGGAGCAGAGAGGGGGCTTTCTTTCGTTGCTTCAAAGAAGCATCAACCACCTTCTTTGCGATAGTGTGATGAAGAAAATGTTGAGACAGTGAAGGTATGCAAGCTGGGAATGAGAGCAGAGCACTCTGTGTTGCACGCAGGGAGGCGAACTGTTGGGAAGTTAGCAGGGATTCTGACACCTGTCAACCACCTGCTTTGCGATAGTGTGATGAAGACAATGCACACAAGACGGGATTAGAGAGCAGGCAGGCGGACTGTTGGTTGGGAAGTTAGAAGGCTGCTAGAGATTCCGGTCAAGTGCAAACTAATCTTTACCAATCTTTATCGGGGTGGGAGGAGAGCTAGGCAGAGTGCTCTGCTCTATGGCAGACAGAGTCACTTAGCACTAGAAGCTGTTAAAGCTTCACACTTCAGGTTTAGGTCCGTGCTTGTTTGTTCTCACATCACAAACCGCTTGTTTAATTCCTCCCCTCCCCTTCCCCACTCCTCCCCCCCTCCCTTTCCCACCTCCCTTTTGTTGGAAACAATAAGTCCTAAGTGCGCTTCTGTCGTACCAAGACCCAAGGCACCAAGCGAAGCAGTCCCAATCGAAGCATCGAGTCAACCTCGGAGGTTAGGGTAACCGCCTGGAGGTTACGAGAAAGTCAAAGGTCGCTGACCTTTGACTCGACAATTACAGCGCGACAGTTAAGGACACACAACTGACTCGTTACAGAGCAGTTGCCCGAGTCGCACTGTATCGAACCGCAACAGCAATACAGTTATCTATCTATCTATTCGTATTCCCTGTACTCTTATATAAATCCTTGTATTTGCTTGTTCAATTTAATCTACTTTGCTCTCACACACCAGTGCAAGGTCGGTTCACAATCCTCATTAAAACGCTTCCGCTATTACAAGTCTCTACCCAAGAGTTCTCCTCTGCAAAGATCCTAAGGGCTATTTCTCAGCCCAACATGGTATGAGAGCTGACAGAGGAAAACTCTAACCTTTTGATCATTACAAGACATGGCAACAAACAAGGAAAGGAGCTCCCCTAATGGCTCCTCGGGCACTACTCCTACTCCACCGCCAGCCTCTGGCCTGCAGACAGAGGAAGGCACGGCAGCAAGACCAAGGGGAACGTCAACCGAGACCCCCACGAACCATCCTTCTGACTTCGACCAGAGCATGATGGAGAAATTTTTCTCCTTCATGTCCTTCTACGAGCAACACCAGCAGTCGGGACCTGCACAGACACACAACAGCAACAACGGAGCGACACCCATGAGCCTTGACGGGTCGTCATACGCGCGAGGGAATCAACAGCAGCAACCCACCTTCGCCCCGTACGAACGCGGGTCGATCAGCTTCCTGCCTCAACCTCCACCTGCGCAAGACAAACCAATGGATGCCTTACAAGTACAGTCGCAGTTCGCGCATGTTCTGAAACTACAGACGTCAAGACCTTTCGACGGAAAGGACTTCTTTACCTGGTCCTTTGAATTCGAGTTGATGATGGAGGGCGCGCAGATACTCGACTTCTTCGACGGATCCCTGCAGTATCCAGCAAACGGGACACAGTATGAAAAGCAGCAGTATACGTATCAATCCATGATGGGGCATACTATTCTACTGAGAAACATCACACCAACCCAGCAGCAAAACATTCGCTCTTACCGGAACTTCGGCAACTCGGCGGAACTCGCGTACGGCCATCTGAAGAACCTGTACCAGGCAACAGACAGTGTAAACCAGAGCAGGTTAATGGCGCAGCTGACAACAGTTGAAATGAAACCAGGAGAAAAAGGGTTGGCGTATATCAGCCGATGTCGCGAACTGCGCGACAAGCTTCTTCGATGTGGAGGGTCAATCTCTGAAGACGCCTTCGTAACAGTCGTCATCGGCGGCCTCGGTCCTCAGTGGCGCGCCACCAAAGCAATTCTTCGAGCACACGGGAGGATCTCCGAAGCGGCACTTTGCGCAGAAATTCACGCCGAGCAGCAGGATATGGACCTGCAAGAAGAAAGACACAAGAAAAGGACATTAGCACCGGAGTTTGCTTTCCATACTCAGCGACGACACAACTACTACAACAATCGACAGCAGCAGCCGAAGTTAGTACCTCCATTTTGTCACATCTGCAAGACATCAGGACACCCACGCACGCACTGCCCGTCTCGACAGACAACACCACAGCGACAACTGCGGCCTTCAAGCACCCAAGTTGCTTAGACACAAGCAAGCTCGACAACCACGATTCAAGCTTCAACGACCTCAACTGGACAACCTGCACAAGGAGCAAGACATATAGTCAACTGCATGGTCAAGATAAACGACTCTTGCACAACAGAGTCACCACCCCATTACTCACCGGAAGAGGAGCTCGACAACAGGACGCCTCGTCGCGAATCACTCCATCCAAATCCGACTTACGCCGCTATCGCTCAAAGTGAACCGTCCGGCCAAGACACCTGGTTCTTGGACAGTTGCTGCGGGCAACACATGTGCTCGTCCGGGCGTTTCGTACAACGCGAACATCGACTCCAACGGGAAGTGATCATCACGGTTGCCAACAACCAAAACCTGCGCACACGAAGACAAGGAGTGGTACAGCTTCAGTCAAGAGAAACAAATGTCATACTGCACATGTCTAAGGTACTCATCGCTGAAGGACTCGGCTACAACTTACTGAGCGTTAGCCAGTTGATGGCGAAAGGAATTCATCTGGAAGCCGACAGCACGACCCAGGAGTTCAAGCTTTACCACGGGAGAGGCGGTCTCTACATCGGGAAAGCAGTGCTGAAGAACAACGTCTTCGTCCTCGACTTCGTTCTTGACCTCGGCACTGCAGACAGCGACGCCATTGTGAACTTTGCTGATTGGACACACCCTCCGGATCTCGACCCCGACTTCAGCCCGGGAGGTTTCTGGTACTCCCACACTATCCCTGAAGCAGAACGAACAAGAGCGTTAGCAACGATTCAACAAGAAGCAGAGGAGACAACATCAGCAGAGACGACAACATCGGCAGCAGCAACAACATCGGCAGCAGCAACAACATCAGCAGCAGCAGGAACAACGACACCAGTCACAGTCGACGAAGCACCACCAACACCCGCGCAACAGCTGAATCCGACTCAACGTGAAGTCCACCGAAGCGCCAACCTCGTCGCCAGCTTTTACTCCAACTCCGACGCATATCAGCGTTCACCCGGACACCGCGCCTCTGAAGAGATCTGGCACGCACGCACAGGACATCCAAGCAAGACGGTTTTGAATAACACGATAAGAGCAGGAGTCCTCGACAAAGACTCTCTACTTCTACCCGATGGCAGAGAACTCCAGAAGGCACGAGGGACTTGCCTTATATGTCCCGAAGCTGACTTACCTCATCGACCGTTTGCTTCACATCACAACCCGAGCGCTCCAGCATACGCACCACTCGAAAAAGTCTACAGCGACATCCTCTACAATCGCGAACCAGGACAAGTCAACTACAACTACACCATCACCTTCATCGACGCCGCCACTCGATACGTCTGGCATTGCAACCTACCCAGCCGCGACATGGCGCTCGCAGCATTCGCCGCCTGGCTACCGATAGCAGAGAGAGAGTCTGGAACACAACTGAAAAATTTCCAGTCAGACGGAGGTGGCGAGTACACCTCTCAGCGCTTCAAGCAGTTCTTGGCGGAAAGGGGGATCAAGCAACTCCTCTCCCTTCCCTACGCACATCAGCAGCAAGGTGTTGCAGAACGACTGAACAGGACCCTGCAGAACAGCATGCGCAAACTGTTACGTGGCATGCGGCTACCCAACCACCAGTGGCCAGCAGCAATGGACCACGCTGTCATGATGCACAACTTGTTGTCGTCGTCGTCACTCCCGAACAACGCATCACCGCATTTGCTGTGGACAGGGAAGCAGGGCAGCACGAAAATGTTACGAGTCTTCGGGTGCATGGTACAGTACAGACCCCCAGAAGCACGAGCGGGAAGATTTTCGCAACGGGCACAGTGGGGACTACACCTCGGCATCGAGAAAAATTACAACGCATGGAGAATCTTCGACGTCCACACAAAGGAAACAGTAGCAGCACGTGACGTGATCTTCTACGAAAGACTCACCCTTCAGACGTACCTCGCCAACTTGCACGAAAATCGGGACCTCACCAGTGGTTTTCGTGGTGACCGAGCCTTCGCGTCAGCAGCGAACGAAGCAGACTGGGATGAACAGAATGTCGACAACGCCTCGGAAGAAGCCGGACCTCTCCCATACTGCTCCGTCGACGTGCCCATGGATGAGGATAATCCTCGCGACAGTAACAACGCCGAAATCTTCTACCGTTTCGCCGACGATGGTTACGTAACACCTGTGACAGTCAACACCAACGAAGCAGAAAGGGTAGGGCCAAATTTCATGCCCGACCCAGAAACGGGAGACGAAGCAGCTTATCCCGAGGATCCAGAACTCCCTCGATACTCACAGACTGGGCTGCAAATCCTTGGTCTCGTCACCGCAGTCCATGGCGCCGGCATTCCTAAGGAGCCTGCGACGGTTCAGCAGGCTCTGGGGGGGGAACACAGGGAGAAATGGCGTGAAGCTATGGACAAAGAGCTGAAGGCACTGGAGGAGCGCAACACCTGGAAAATTGTTCCCATCGGCGTAACTCAAAATAAAAACATTCTTACCGGGAAATGGGTCTTCCGTGTGAAGACGAAAGCTGATGGCACCATCGACAAATTCAAAGTCCGCTGGGTCGTACGTGGCTTCGACCAGGAGCACGGAAGAGATTACACCGAAACCTTCGCTCCGGTCAGTCGCCACACCTCACTCCGAATTCTCATCGCCGTCGCCGCCATGAAGAAAAAGAAATTGCGACAAATCGACGTTGCGAACGCATTTCTCTACGCACCTGTGGATGCATAAATCTTCGTCGAACTCCCGCACGGCTCCCACGGCGAACCCAACCGAGTGTGTCAACTACTCAAATCACTCTATGGGATCAAGCAGGCACCGCGACTGTGGCAGCAGTACCTACACGCCCGCCTCATCCGCATCGGCTTCAAACAACTCCCGCATGACCAGGGCATGTATCGCCTCACAAAAGGAGGCGATTACGTCCTACTAATCGTCTACGTGGACGATCTCCTCTACATTGGGTCAACCGACGACATCGCCACGTGGTTCGAAGGGGAGCTCCAGAAAGACCTCACGCTCACGGTCTCTTCTACGGTTACGCAATATCTCGGGCTCAACATCCGTGAGGAAGAAAACACAATCTACCTAAGCGCCGAGAAGTACGCCGACACTATCGCGAAACGCTTCCGTCTCACACCAAGCGCCATTTCCACGCCTTACCGCTACGCGTCAGGAACCGAAAAGGGGCAATCTACTCTACTTAAACCCGCCGGCATACGCGACTATCAAAAGAAGCTCGGATGCCTTCTTTTCGCAGCAGTCACATGCCGTCCCGACCTATCCTACTCCGCGAGTCAGCTCGCTACCTATCTCAAGAGACCTGAAGCAGAGCATCTGGCGGAACTCGATCGTGCTCTCCACTACTTCGTCAGCACCGCGACGATCGGACTAACTTATCACAAAAACGTGACTACACCGACCAAGCTAATCGGCTACGTCGACGCCGATCACGCCGGCGACACCGACAACAGGCGCTCACGCACCGGCTATGTCTACCGCCTTGAGCCTATCGGTCCTATCTCCTGGCAGTCGAGCAAGCAGGAGTTAATCGCACTATCTTCAGCAGAAGCAGAATATATTGCACTCTGCTCAGCCACCAAGGAGGGACTTTACCTTCGCGAACTACTGGAAGAAGCGAAGCTAGCCGAGTTACCCAGCTTCACCGTGTTCTGCGACAACCAGTCGGCAATTCGCATCGCCAACAAAAACGGCTTCGCAAACAGGACGAAACACATCGCCCTGCGCTATTTCTTCGTGAAGGACGAGATAGAAAAAGGGAAACTCGATCTGTCGTACTGTCCAACATCCGAGATGGCAGCCGATTACTTGACCAAGAAACTCGGAAAGCAGAAGTTCGAATACTGCATGATGCTGACTGGACAAGGCCACGTCACCAGCAGCGACACTCCAGAAGCGAAGGGGAGTGTTGGAAACAATAAGTCCTAAGTGCGCTTCTGTCGTACCAAGACCCAAGGCACCAAGCGAAGCAGTCCCAATCGAAGCATCGAGTCAACCTCGGAGGTTAGGGTAACCGCCTGGAGGTTACGAGAAAGTCAAAGGTCGCTGACCTTTGACTCGACAATTACAGCGCGACAGTTAAGGACACACAACTGACTCGTTACAGAGCAGTTGCCCGAGTCGCACTGTATCGAACCGCAACAGCAATACAGTTATCTATCTATCTATTCGTATTCCCTGTACTCTTATATAAATCCTTGTATTTGCTTGTTCAATTTAATCTACTTTGCTCTCACACACCAGTGCAAGGTCGGTTCACAATCCTCATTAAAACGCTTCCGCTATTACAAGTCTCTACCCAAGAGTTCTCCTCTGCAAAGATCCTAAGGGCTAATTCTCAGCCCAACACCTTTCCCCCTCCCCACCTTTCGCCCCACTCTTACCCCTCTTATCCTTGTCTCAACTACCTAATAACCCAACTCCCCTGTAAGCAGGGGTTCTATAGTCGGTGTGTTTGTCAGGGTGTATACGGTATGAAGCAAATCTTTTCTGAAAAGGCACCTGTGCGTATCTGATTTGATCTGACTTTCACAGCTGTCATAAAACAGCCTTCCAAACACCATCTGCAAGGAATACGGTGGTACCTACTGAATTAGGCATCTGGTCTGGTCCGCTTACATCACACATAAGGATTGGAACACAGAGTGAATACCGTAATAATGTTTTGATGTCATACATACAAACCGGAGTCTCACATCTTACGTACGGGTTACGGAATATGATCCACCCGTATGCTAAAAGTCACCCGCTTGGCTGCAATCTGAATGAACCGGCCCTTCAGAAACTTGTACAGATGCTTTTATGTAGACCCATGCGCACTCCCATGCGCACTCCCATGCGCATTCCCATTCCCACGCGCATTCCCATTCCCATGCGCATTTCACGAGCGTACGGGTGTTGATCTTGATGCTGATCACGAAGCCGGGACCATTGCTCCTCCTCCTCAAGTGGCTGCTCGGGACGAGGATCACGTGTTGTGTTGACTGTCCATCATTCTACACACCACCATCTATGCCACCATGCGCGGCCATGCCACCATGCGCGCGAATGGCAGCATGGGCCTTCTCCGGCCCCACAGGAGCTTCCAAGAAGGGGTACCTACGAAATTTCGGCTGCTTCCCAAGGGCGGCGTTGCTCATATTCCTCTCTCCTCAGACCCTCTTCTCCACCAGATTCCTTTTCCTCACACTCTGTCTCGCACACTCTCTCACACACCCTCTCGCACTCTCTCTCTCTCTCTCTCTCTCTCTCTCTCTCTCTCTCTCTCTCTCTCTCTCTCTCTCTCTCTCTCTCTCTCTCTCTCTCTCACGCATCTCTCTCAAACTCCTCTCTGTCTGAGTTTCCTGTCTTCGTCCGCCCCCCCCACCTCAAAAACCCCACACTCACGCACTCGCGCTCTGCCGGATTTGCTAGTAACGCTAGCAGTTGCTGTATTCCTTGCACCACCACTGACCCTCTCACGCACTCGATCTCTGCCAGATCTGCTAGTAACGCTGGCAGGTGCTGCTCGCAATGCTGCTGAAGCTGAAGCTGAAGCTGGTGCTGTAGTCCTTGCACCACCACTGACCCTCTCACGCACCCTCCCACTCAATCTCTTAATCACCCTCTCACTGGTAGTGGCACTGGTACTGTCACCGTCAGTGGAATACCAGGGGAACCCACTGCTGATGCTGCTCGCAATGCTGCTGAAGCTGAAACTGCTGCTTCTTCTCCACGCCCCACCCTTGCTTCTCTGCTCCTCCTCCTCCTCCTCCTCCTCCTCCTCACTCACTTCTTCTCCTCCCTCTCTCAACTCCTCCTTGTCTGAAGGCTGACCATTCCCAGGTGCCTCATCGCTCAACCCACTGCCACTCGCAAAACCACTGCCTTGCTGCAGCGCCTCAAGAGATGCTACTGCCTCATCGCCCTTCCCTCTGCCACTCCCCCTGCTGGAGCTTCTCTGAAGCTGCCTGCTCCATCGACCACTGAGCCTGCTACCGATGCTGCCACCGACGCTGCTACTGATGCTGCTACCGATGCTGCTGCTGATGCTGGTTCGGAGGCCGCTCTTGATAGAGCTGGTAAGGGATATGCTTCTCCTCATGACCGTGCTGCTACTGCTACTCCGGTTGCGGCTCGCTTGCACGTTACCTCGAGTGTTGCTCTCCTGCTTCTTTTCCTCCTGCGCTACTCCCTCCTTCCTCTCCTTACGCTCTTCCGTTCTCCCCTCCTTCATTTCCTCCTTCATTTCATTCCTCTCCTCCTCCCTCTCCTCCCTCTCCTTCCTCTCCTTCCTCTCCTGACATATAATCTCAGAGTTGAGCTCTTCCCACCATCCGAATGATATTACCCTAGGCAGATCAGTGTAAGATTTGCACCCGATAACGCTCGGGCTCTTTCTCCCTTCCTTCCCCCCATTCGTATCCCCATCGACAGCATAAGGAGCGGGTGCACGACAAGGCGGAACGGCATGCGGCTGGGCGGGATGGGGGGGGGAGGCACAAGGGCTCGGCAATTTGGGAGTGGCGATGGCGGAAGAGCGGGGAGAAGCACGCGGGCTGAGTGGCTTGGGAGTGGGGACGGTAGCAGAGCGGGGAAAAGCATGGGGGCTGAGTGGCATGAGAGTGGCGAGGGCAGCAGAGCGGGGAGAAGCACGCGGGCTGAGTGGTTTCGTAGTGGTGAGGTCAGCAGTGCGCAAGCTTCTCAACCCATTTTCGTTGCTCAGCTGACTGTTGCTGCTTGGCTGGTTGCCGCTGTTACTCTGCTCCCTGCTGTTACTCTGCTCCCTGCTGCTACTCTGCTCCCTGCTGTTACTCTGCTCCCTGCTGTTACTCTGCTCCCTGCTGCTACTCTGCTCCCTGCTGTTACTCTGCTCCCTGCTGCTACTATGCTCCTTGCTGTTACCCACGTTGCTGGTACTGCTGCTCGCGTGGTGGTTGCGAACCCGCCTGTTGCTGATGGTACGACTGCGCAGCACAGCGCCATACAGCCCGATGAAATCATCGTCTGAGTCATCCTCTTCGCTTTCCGTCCCCTTCCCATGTTTCTGCTGCTGCTGCTGCTGCTGCTGCTGCTGCTGCTGGAGTTGGTTTCGGTGTGGCTGTTGATCTCGCCGTTGCTTTTGCTGCCGATCCGGAGCACTGAAATCAACATAGAGATTCTGACTGCTGCAGAGGCCAGCATCCCCGTTATAGAGCTCCAAACGCAAGCTCCTGCTGCCCCACTTGCCGGACCAATCAGGCTCAGACGCATGAGAGGTAGCAGCAGAGGCAGTGGGGGAGGCGGAGAGAGGCGAGCAGGGCGCACAGGAGGAGCGCAGGGAGAGAGAGCCTACGCGTGTGTGGCGCGGGTGGTGGGACGAGAGCGGGGAGAAGGCGGAGGGGTCGGAGGGAGCTAGTGCAGAGGAGTGTTGAGTCGACTCGAGGCATGCGTCTGGTCCAAGGGAGAGGGACCATGCGCGCTTGTGACGCGCGTGGGATGAGGGGCCAGCGGAGGGGGAGACGGCGGAGAGGGCGGAGAGGGCGGAGTATGGCGATATGGGGGAGTCTTGAGTTGACTCAAGACGCGGGTGGGATTGCGGGGAGAGGGATTTAGCGTGCTTGTGACGCGGGTGGGACGAGGGGTCAGAGTGGGGGGAGACGGGGGAGTGAGCTGATGCGGGGGAGTGAAGGGAACGGGAAGGGCGCTGGGCGGAGTGGGCGGAGATGGGGGAGCGGGCGGAGAGGGGGGATTGGGCGGAGTGGGCGGAGAGGGCGGGGGGGGATTGGGAGGAGTGGGGGGGGTGGGTAGAGGGGGCCCAGAAGGGGGGGGATCGGGGGTAAGTCATGCTTCTGCTGCCAAAACCGGAGGGAGAGAAGCGGAAGTTGTCTGAAGGGTGGTGATGGTAAGTGTTGGAGCTCATTCTGCTGGGGAGCTGGTTCTCTGGCCTGCCACGTGGACTTCTCTCTGTTGGTGCTACTGCTTCTGCGGAACCCGATGCAGAAACGTGTGCATCGACCTCCTCGAAATGTGCTGTCCCATATAGGTCCGCTTCCATCCTCTCATCAGACCCTATACTACTAGAACCTGCTGCAGCGCTTGAGTTTAGAGACGTCTCAACACTACCAGAAACGTGTGCATGGAGCTCCTCTAAATGCTCTGCCCCATACAGATCCGCTTCCATCCTGTCACCAGAACCTATACTACTACAACCTGCTGCAACGGCATTTTGTGCCGTGATAGAATTAACTGTAGCTCGTGCGGCTTTACTGTGTGCTGAGCTGGCGCTCTCTGCTGCTACCTTGCCATGATAAGAGCCCCCTTTATAAGAGTCCTCATTATAAGATTCACCATTATAAAAGTCCCCATGGTAAGAGTCCCCGTTGTAAGAATCCCCATTGAGAGAGTCGCCATTGAATGAGTCCCCGTTATAAGAGTCCCTGTGATAAGAGTCCATTCTTGAGCCAGCTGCGAAGTGCCCTTGTGTTCTGCCGTTTAGGCAGTCGATGGGCGGATTGCTTTGGGTGCTCTGGCTGTGACGGGGGGTGCTGTGGCTGCGGTTGCTGTAGCAGCCGCTGCCGGGTCGGGGACTGCTGTGGCTGACCCGGGGACTGCTGTGACTGACACGGGGACTGCTGTGACTGCGGTGATTGGGCCGAGGGCTGCTGTGACTGAAACGGGGGCTGTTGTTAATACTCTCAGCACCATCCCAAGCAGCAGCTGGAGCAGTGAAGGCATACCCCGTTATAGTGGACTCGACATTGATACTAGGCGGTGTCTGGGCAGAGCTGAGCTGATGGTTGAAAGTGCGGCAACGCGGCATGGTGAGGGCGCGTCCAGATTCAACGTCCTTGCTTTTGCACCTCGGACTGCTGTTAACGCCGGTGGCTCCGTTGCTGACGCCTCTATTGGCGCCGCTGCTTAAGCCGCCGCCGCTCGTGTCAACGCTGCTGACGCAGCGGCGGTGGGTCGGGCGACGATTATTCTTAGCAGCTGGTGCCGACGAAGTTGCTGCTGCTGCTGCCGCGGGCGGAGCAGGCGTGCTCGGCACTGCTGCTTCCTGGCGATGATGCGAGTATGATCGGGGAAAAGGCTCGGAAAAATCATCGGCCGGCATGACACTGCCAGTGGTTGTAGACCCACATGATGGAGACGGCATGGCAGCAGCGGCACCAATGGTGAAGCTACGATGACGACGATGGTGCGTTTTCTTGGGCGTTTCGGAAGCGAGCAACGTTACTAAGTGGCTCGAGTCGGGCGATCGTGGGGGCGTTCTGATAAATCCACCACCAGTGGCAGTGGTGGATAACTGGAGCTCCCAAGGGTTTGAGAATGTCATTCTGAGAGCCACGAGCTTCGACTAAAAGTCAGAAAGTCACCCGGTCACGGACAGACTCACAAAAAGGGTCTTGTCTTACGGCGATCATGAGAGGCCTCAGCTGCTGGTCGTATGGCGAGTTTCCCCACGGACGGATGAACAGTCGTGCTACTAATCACTGGGAACAGTCGGTCTGGTACTCTCAGCAACCGTCGAAATTCGGAGCGGCAAGAGTAGCATGTCCCGAGGAGCTAGATGGGTTTCCGAGTAGCGGTAACTTCCTTCTGGTCACATTCGGAGCTTCGACGACTTTTTTTTTTTTTTTTTTTTTTTTTTTTTTTTTTCAGGCTGATCATTCGTGCTGCCCCCTGCCAGACCAATTATCAGAGCACTGGTCGGTAACTTGCCGTACACTTTTCTTTTCCGCCGCCCACTTTTGCTGACTTGCCGCCTCTCGCGAAGGCGGTGAATGGACGCGCCGCAGAAACCCAAGCAGGCAGCTCAAAGTCCCCAAGATCTTTGGGCGGGAATCCCAGCAGCCTGCCCGAGCAGTTTATTTCCGTTCCGTCAGCCTACGAAGCACGGAAAACCCGGAAGAATACTCTCAGTCATTTTAGTTGGCTACTGACGAGATTTGAGCGATAGTGATTACAAACAGCTGCCACATTGGGAGTTTCAAGCAGAGACGACGGCTCCGCGTGAAGGGGACAGTGTGGTTGTGTAAAGCTTAGAAGCAAGTGCGAGCAATTACAAGCTGCTTTAATCAATTACTAAGTTAGTCTACCGCCTAGTTTACAAGCCACCCACACTTACGGACAGCTGTACAGTACTCTAATCTAATCCAACACAACACTTGCTGGCTATCCTGTGGGTCAGCTTGCCGTGTGCTGCGAACAGTTATCGCCTCGCCACCTGTTGTACCTTCTACACCTGCGAAACAGTTATCGCCCCGCTCACCCGGTTATTCGTTTATCTCACCAAGCGCGTTTCGGTCGGAGGTGCTTGTCCTTTTTGCCAGGTGCTTTTAACGTCTGCGAGTCACATTTCCCTGCGTATTGCCGTCCCTTGCTCCCAAAATGTGGCTATAAATACGTTTTTGCAACTCTAGGCCGGCCTGACCTAATCATGACTAATAAATTTGGCCTCGTCTTTAGCGCGAATGCATGTAACTGTAGTGTTCTGCCACCAATTTTCTTCGACGTTTAGCAATTCAATGCTGAACTGATCACGCGTGTGAATCGATTCTATGTGACATAAACGCATCGCTCCCAACCTTCTATGTGAGCGTACCGAGCCGATAGCACAATCGCGGGTGCATCAAACGAACACTTGGGTGTAGTAGCAACTTTTGTGTTTCAATGGCGTTCATCACGTGCGTTGGTGAACGGGGAAACCTCCACCTTGTAGGCAAGGTTGGTGACTGCTGGCAGCTGGCTTGGCTATCTCGAAGCGGGCTTATCTCGACGAACTGCAGGCTGAGATATAGTGTACTGAGGGCGTGTAACTTTGCTTAGACCAAGCCCGAAATCCGACCGAATGGCCGGATCTGGCGAGAGCGAAACTTGTAACGATTTGACGAGCCCCGCCAAACATTACGAGCACAACGACCATTCTGTTCGCCAGGACGCGGAACAACCACCCTAAACCGCCCTTGAAATTGGTCGGAAAAGGTTTGATCCCAGTTCCAGCATCGAACTGGGTGTGGAAAATAGTAGGCGCGGGTATTTTGACTGTTCAGCAAAATAACGGTGGTCTGAAAACGCGTTCGGGGGCGAAAACCGAATGTCAAACATGATCTCCTGCTAAGTAGAGTCCCGACTAGCTTGGTTGGCAGGTTTATACGAAAGAATACCTTCCTATCTCTGTCGAGTCAGGGTGACTACAGACTGTTTGGGTAACCCTACAGACTTCGCAATCGTCAGAACCGCTCATACGGTCGACCATTTGTTTTGGTCGGAGAAAAGTTACACGCCCTAAGGCCTCTCTGTTCACTCCCCTCCACTTTGTAAAGCCTCCCTTCGGGGCATTTTTGAAAACGTTCGATGTTGCCAGGCTGGAGGGTGACATCCAACTGTACAAATGGACCCAACCCTTAGCGGGAAAGTATCAAACCGGACTGATTAGATTTAAGACTTAAGATTTCATTTCGCGACCCGTGGGCGGATACACGGGGAAATAGCACACGGATGAGCAAACTAGGGCGTGGAAACCGAGCCTCGTACGTTCCTGGCTCGTGTCAACTTCCGGTCTTCCGGGGATGACACGAAGCCGCCCCACAGGTGGCCCCACTTTGGGTCATCCGCGACCCACTTCGGGTCTTCCGGCTAAAATTCGCCCCTGGTCTCGGAAAACACAAATTTGACCGGAAGTTTGACACGAGCCAGGAATGCACCCTCAAGCCCCAGGCCCGCTTGACCCCCACGCGCTATAATTGTTATTTGGGAGGGGCCTTAACGTGTTTTCCTATGACATTCCAGAAATATATACTCTGTTCGTGGTAATTCGTGTTTTGTTATCAAGAACATGATTGAGTATGTTCTTGTGACATTTAGCTAATTTCTATGTAAAACAAGAGATGAGAAAGCTGACATGCAGAGTGTTGCTGTGGAGTCTTGCAAGCATCGTCCAACCTGATGGAACACAACACAAGCTAGTTGAACACTTGGTTATTCTAGCAGAGAAAAAGGCATGCACTTGTAGTACACACTTGTGATACTAGAGCACCATACCCTCGTTACCCAAAAAAGGCAATGCATTTATTGGTAAGTTTAACTTAAGGATTACGGAATGTGGTCCACCCGTATACTAAAAGACACCCTCTTGGCCGCAATCTGAATAAACCGTTCCTTTAGAAACATGTACGAATGCTTTGATGTGGACCCACGCGCATGCTCGTATTGATCTGGACTCAACACATGATCGTGATCTCCATGTTCACGTGTTGACTTCTCTTCACCATCCATGCCACCACGCATGGCCCCATCCGTGCCACCATCCATGCCAACACGCATGGCCCCATGCATGACCCCATGCATTTCACCATGAACGGGTATCACACCATGCACCGCCTCCTCTGGCCCAGCAGAAGAAGCTTCCCGGAAGGGGTACGAGATGCCGGCTGCTTCCCAGGGGCAACGTGGCTGGCTCCTCTCCCTCCTCACATCCTCCTCTTCCTCACACACACCTCCATCCGAATCCCCTCCCTCTACCCCCCCACACACCTCCCTACACACGCTCGACCTCACTCCTGCGGCCGCAGCATCAGTGCCCCGGCGATCAGACATGCCGCTTCCGGTGCTGCTGGCGCTGCTACCAAAGAATTGAACATTGCTGGTTTTACTGGTACTGCTGGCAACTGTCGCGACCTTGTCTCTCATGCTAACCCTGTCTTTAACAGTAGCAATGGCACTAGTGCTCTCACTGGCAATGGTGCTGGGGCTGTCACTGTCAGTGGAATACCACGGGAACCCGCTGCTAATGCTGCTCGCGATGCTGCTAATGCTGAAGCTCGCACTCCTCCTTCGCACTTCACCCTTCCTCCTCTGCTGCTCCTCCTTCTCATTCACTCCTTTCCCTCCCACATCCACACCTCTCGCCTTCGACTTCTCCTTGTTTGAAGGCTGACAAATCTCTGGTGCCTTATCGCCCTTCGCGCTGCCATTCAAGCAGCTAGTGCCTGTTAGAGGACTGGCAGTACTCTCACGAACTGCCTCTCCCTCCTTCTCTCTGCCATTCGCGCTGCTGGCGCTTCTCTGTAGCTGCCGGCTCCACTTGCTACCGAGCCTGCCGCCGATGCTGCTACCGATGCTGCTGCTGATGCTGGTTCGGATGCCACTCCTGAAGCTGCTGGTGAGGGATATGCTTCTCCGCATGACCGCGCCGCTGCTGCTGCGCTGGTTGCAGCTCACATGCATGTTACCTTGAGTGTTCCTCTCCTGCTTCGATTCCTCCTTCAATTCTCTTTTGTTCTCCTCCTTCCACTCTTTCCTCGCTTCATTTCTCTCCTCCTTCCTCTCCTCTTTCCTTTCCTTCCTTTCTTCCTTCCCCTCTTTCTTGGCCCCCTTACTCTCCTTCCTTTCCTCCTCCTCCTTCCTCTCCTCCTTCCTCTCCTTCCTCCCCTCCTTCCTCCTTTCCCTCATCCCCATTGTCTCTGCGACGGGAGCAACAGGAGAAGGAATAGGACGGGGTGGAATGGCGTGGGGGTGGCTGGGATGTGGGGAAGAAGCATGGAGGCTGAGAGGTCCGGGAGAGGCGAGTGCAGTCTTGCGGCCACCCCGCTGCTGGTTACTGTTACCATTACTCAGATGGTTACCATTACTCAGATGGTTACCATTACTCAGCTGGTTACCATTACTCAGCTGATTACTGTTACTCAGCTGGTTACTGTTACTCAGCTGGTCACCGTTGCACGGGTGGTTACTGTTACTCAGCTGGTTACCGTTAAGCAGGTGGTTACTGTTACTCAGCTGGCTGCTGCTGCTACTGCTGCTGCTGCTATTGCTGCTCAGCTGCTTGTGCGTCCACCGGTTGCTGCCGCCACGGCTGTGGAACACAGCGCCATACAGCCCGATAAAGTCATCGTCCGAGTTGGCAGCATCTTCTTCCCCTTGCTGCTCTTGCTGTTGCACTTGCTGCTGCTGCTGCTGTCGCAGTTGGTGCTGCTGGTGCTGCTGCTGCTGTTGCTGATGCTGTTGCATTTGCTGCTGATGCATCAACCCAACAGCACCATAGAGGCCAAAGGCATGATCGACTAACTCATTGCATGCATCTCCTTCCCGGTCCGCCAGCTCTTTCCGACAACCATGGGGCTGCAAAGAACCTTGGGAATGGGTCTGCTGCTGCTGCTGCTGCTGCTGCTGCTGCTGCTGCTGCTGCTGCTGCTGCTGCTGCTGCTGCTGTTGCTGCTGCTGGGGTTGGTTTTGGTAATGATTTCGCTGCTGCCGTGGATCTTGCAGTTGCTTCTGCTTCTGCTTCTGATCCAGAGCATCAAAATCATAGGGATGCTGCGAGCTGCAGGGGCTAGCATCCGCGTTATAGAGCTCCATGTGAAAGCTCCTGCTGCCCCACCTGCGCGACCACCCAGGCTCAGAAGCCGGGGACGGAGCAGCAGAGGCACCACCGGGGGAAGCGAAGAGAGGCGAGCAGGGCATATGGGAGGGTCGCAGGGCGAGAGAGCCTGTGCGAGTGTGGTGCGGCCTTGATGAAGGGGCGGGGACAGCAGAGAGGGGGGAGAAGAGGGCGGAGTGTGTGGAGAGGTGGGAGAGCGCGGAGTGAGCTGACAAGGGGGAGTCGTGAGTTGATTCAAGACTGGCAGTTGATTGCAGGGAGAGAGAGTGCATGCGCGCATGGCGCGGCTGTGACGAGGGGCTGGGGAAGGGGGAGAGGGCGGAGTGAGCTGATGTGGGGGAGAGGAGGGAATGGGAAGGAGACTGGGGGGAGTGGGCGGAGATGGGGGAGTGGGCGGAATAAGCGGAGATGGGGGAGTGGGCGGAGTAGGCAGAGGTGGGGGAGTGAGTGGAGATGGGGGAGTGGGCGGAGGGGGCCCAGAACGGGGGAGATGGGGGGGAAGGAAAGCTTCTGCTGCCAGGAATGGAATGCGGGAAGCGGAAGTTGTTGGAGGGGTGAAACTGGTAACCGTTGGAGCTGCTTCTGGGCGGCGGGTGCTTCTCTGACCTGCCATGTGGACTGCTCCCTGGCATGCAACGTGGATTGCTCTCAGGCATGCCACGTGGAGAAGCTGTGCTGGCAGTTGATGGGATCGGCAGGGGGGCGATGTCCGTGGCTTCAGATGCAACAACGAGTGATGGAATCTTACCCAACTGCTGCCAACGCTGCTCCAGCTGCTGGTGCTGCTGCTGCTGCTGATGATGATGATGATGGTCGTGCTTCTGCTGCTGCTGCTGGTAGTGATACTGCTGCTGTGGCTGCTGGTGGTGCTGGTGCTCGGTTGGTCGTCTTGATGCAGCGAGTGAGGCAGATAACACGGAAGTCGACGAATACGAGGAGAGCGATACACGTGCTGCTCCTGTTTCTGTCGGTACTACCGCTTCTGCTGGACCCGGCGCACGTGCCGCCTGTTGACCAATCGACTGCATGCGAGATTGTCGCACGACGGTACGCGCTGCTCCAATCGGCCATCTCCCGCCCAGCAAATGCTGCGACACCCCTGGATTATCACCAGAAGTCCCACCTGACTTTCCACCTGAACCCCCAACTGAAGCTGCACCTGAAATCTCAGCTGCAGTAGAATTATTAGTACCTCGTGCGGCTTTATGTGCAGGGCTGGAGCTTGCTGACGGTATCTTGCCATTACAGGAGTCCCCATGATAACTGTCCGTACGGGAACCTGTTGCCACGTGTCCTTGCTTTCTGCCAGCCTGGCAGCTACTGGAAGGGCTGCTTTGGGTGCTGTGGCGGTGCTGTGGGCTGCTGCGGTTGCTGTAGCGGCCGCTGCCGTGTTGGGGACTGCTGAGCTTGAGCCCGGGCCTGCGGCTGTGACTACAGCGGGGGCTGTTGTTACTCTCAGCACCAGCCCAAGCAGCAGCTGGAGCGGTGAACGCATACCCCGTTATAGTGGACCCGACATTGACATTAGGAGATGTGTTCTCGCCAGAGCTGAACTGCTGGCTGAAAGTGCGACGCGGCGCCACGATGGCGCCGCGCTCTGACGCAACGTCCTTGCTTCCCCACCTCGGACTGCTGTTACCCGCGCCGCTCTTGACGCCGTTGCTGACGCCGCTGTTGACGCTGCTGCACGTGGGAACGCTGCTGACACAGCGGCGGTGGAACGGGGGACGATAATTCTTAGCAGCTGATGCCGACGTTGCCGCTGTTGCTGGGGGCGGAGCAGGTAGGCTGGGCGCAGACCGGGGTGGTCGGGTCGGAAACGACGTCGAAGATTCGCGTGCTGCTTCTTTGGGATGCGAATAGCGGGGGAAAAGCTCGGAAAAATCGTCGACTGGCATGACACTGCGGGCGGTAGTAGAAGTAGGTCCAGAATTTGGAAACGCCATCATCGCGGCAGCATTGCCAATGCTGGAGCTATGATGACGACGATGAAGCGTCTTCTTGGCCAATTCGGAAGCAAGCGATGTGAAGTGGCTTGAATCGGACGACTGTGAGAGCATTCCGATGGATCTTGTGGGTAGCTGGAGCTCCCAAGGGTTTGAGAATGTCATTCTTATAGCCCGAGCTTCGACTCAGAAAGTCGCGTCACGGACCGACTCACGGAATCCGAATTAGTACTGGAACGAGAGGCCTGCTAGGGCAGGATTTCGCACGACCCGTGAACTGTACGGAACTGCTGCAGGTCATAATAGTAGTGGTAAGTATCACTGAAAACGGTTTGTACCCCAGCGTCGAAGCCCGAAGAGAGAGCAAGTGCAGTATGTCCTGTAGAGCTAGATAGTTCTCGGAATATCAGACTAAGGTGATGTCGCAGCGCGCGGCAGGCCCGATTCGGCGGTTCGGCGATTTCGAGGCTTGCTAAATTTCATCCTGCCCCCTCGACCGCCCAATCATAGGAGCACATTTCCCATCTTGCCGTGCTTTCTACCCTGCCCGCTGACTTGCCACATATCACATCTGATCCGACGTGTACAAAGGCGGTGAACCGACGCGTCGCAGCAGCCATCGCAACAGTCCCCACAGTCCCCGAGATTTACGCGCGGGAAGCTTTGTTGGCCACTCAGCCCGACCAATTCAGTGCAGTCGCCCTACGAAGGCTCAGGAAACCCGGAAGATTATATTCTCGCTCGCTTCGATTGGCGAATATTTAACGGACGAGATTTGAGCGATAGTGGTTACACCGGGAGTTTCAAGGGATGAAGGCTCCGCGTGAAGGGACTATGGCGGCCTGTGTTAGGGCTAGGGGGAAGCTAAGATTCAGATATGCAACCTCTTCTGTTCCCCCAGTTTGACATGCCGCCCACTAGGCTAGTCCGCCCTTGAAGAACTGTAGCTCGTGCAAGCGAGCCTATGGATCTGCTTGCCGTGTGCTGCGAACAGTGCACGCCTCCTGGCAGTTTCGCTGGCGGTACACGTGAGTCAGAGAAACCTGGGGAAGAGAACGCCAGATTGCATGCAAGGTTGGCGGATGATGCCATGCCACCTGGCTGGATGGTTGAGTTCGACTTTGCACACTCTCCCGGCGGTTTGCTCATCCCATCCCATTTAAAACGCCGCTGCTGGAGGGTCACATGACATCATACCTCTGGTCCAAGCACATGTACGACGATAACGCGTATACGTAGCGAAAATTTGAAGGGATATTCACTCGCACACCATTTCAGCGAACCACGTTCATGTTTTAGGAAAGCTCTTATATAAGATTACCACAAAAGAAAAGCCAGAGTTATGGCACTGTTACGAGAGCAATTGAGTGAGCGAGCGAGAATTGCACTATCGAAGCAAGAGTACAATGAGCGAAGGCATGAGCGAAGAATATATAGCGAAACTACAGAGGTAACGGTAATGGACTGTGGTTGTCGCGCGACGGGCCTGGGACTGAGGTTTGGGGGAATGTCGAAGCAGAGGCCCGGAACGCGGGTTACCCGCCGAGCCGTGAGGTCGGGGTGCGACGTGCGAAGGTGGCGGGAGGATCGTCGATGCGAGGGTTGCGAGTGGTAACGGTGCTGACTGTGGTGCTACAGTGGTGTACGCGCTGAGCGGGGACGCGAAGTAAGGAAAAAAAGGAATTTTCCTTAAACTAACCCCCCCCCCCCCCCCCCCCCCCCCCCTAAGGAGGTCCTCCTTACGAAAGCGCGTGTACATCCGTGAAGTTTCGGCTGCGCAGATACTGTGTGAGGACAGGGTGGTTTTCGACCCTGTCCAGGGGAACCCAGTTGTCTTCGGTGGGTGTACGGTCTTTCTAGCGGATCAGGAACTCGATCCTTCGGGCTCCTCGAGGGTCACGAACTCTGTTGCTCAGGATTTTCTCGGGTGTGATGATTGGTTCAGTCGACGATCGTGTCATGCTAGCTGGGCGATTACGTGCCAGTTGGCTTGTAGACCGTATGTAGGGGCGAAGTAGGCTGACATGGAAGGACGTGCTGACGTACCAGTCAGCGGGGAGGAGGAGATGGGCAGTGACGGGCGTAATCATGTGGCTGATGCGGAATGGTCCACAGTATCGGGGGCGAAGTTTTGGGGTGATGGGCAGGCGGAGTTTCGGAGTGTCAAGTAAAACTAGGTCGTCGGGCTAGTAAGTAACAGGTCGGCGGTGGCGGTCGGCGTTACGTTTAGCGAGGATGTTGGATTTTTTTATTGCGTCTGCTGCCCAGGTCCGTGCTGCTTGTAAAATTTCAGCGAACTGTTCTGCTCATGGCACCGGGTTGTCGGGATTCGGGGTCATGGGTACTGTCGGGTCTTGTCCGTAGTTCAGGTAAAACGGCGACTGTTGGGTTGTGCGGAGGGTGAGTTATTGTACGCGAATTCGATGAGCGGCAGTTGCTATTCCCAAGTGGTTGGGTTATCGCACGTGGCTCCAATGAGTTGTTCCATTGTCTGATTTGTCCTCTCTGTCTGTCCGTCGGTCTTGGGTGGTACGAAGAGCTAAACTATAGTTGCGTGCCGAATTGTTGCCACAGGTTCCGCCAGAAGTTGCTAGTGAATTTCGTGTCTTGGTCGCTGATGATCGCCGCTAGTATCCCGTGCAGTCGAACGACGGTGGAGATGAAGAGGCGTGCGGTTTCTTCGGCTGTGATTGATTTTTTGCAAGCTGCGAAGTGTGCCATTTTTGTCAGTCGGTCGACGACGACCAGGATCGCTTCGTTCCCATTTGCCCCAGCCGGTAACCTCGTGACGAAATCCATCGTCACCTGCTTCCAAGCACGCTCTAGAGGTGGTATTGGCTGGAATTGTCCTGCCGGCCGCTTCCGTGATGATTCCATGAGCTAGCAAGTGGGACACAATGCCACGTGTCGTTGTACGTTGGTCAACATCTCGGGCCAATAATATTACCGCTGCAGCTGCTGCCGTGTTTTCTCTACCCCGAAATGCCCTGAGGTAACTCCGTTGTGTGCCTCCTGTAACAATAACTCCCGTAGCAGTGTGTATCCTGGTACCCAGATGCGGTCGGTCCCGACTTTTACGTAATAGACTCCCTTTGCTGCTGCCAACTGCTGCAAATTTCCTCCTGTGAAGGATGGGTCCGTTTGGTACCCGTGGGTAAATAGGCCTATCAGTAGTGGATTTCTCTGGGCGAGTATTATTCCGTGTGAGAAAACTGAAACGAGAATGAATGTGCACTAAGGAATGGAATGTGGTACAAAAATGCAACCCTAGAAATGTGTACCCCATATAGGCTACCCCACTACAACCTACAGAACATTATGATTTGACACACCCCCTTAGGCAAAGTGGGGGAGAACAAGGGGTCACAAGACCAGTCAAGCAAAACAAAGCAAAGCTCAGGGTGGATCACAAAGTCACCAGACATTCCGAGCACAAGTTCAAGGCCACAAGGCCAGTTCTCATGCAGGAGCACATATATATATAAAAGGCTAAACAAGCAAGAGCAGGAGTATATATATGTGACAGTACAAGCAAGGTCAAGAAGTGAGCAAGTGAGGCAAGGCAAGCACAAGACCAAGTTGAGTACAGAAGCGCTGATGATCACAAGGCGCAAGTGCCTTAGTGAAGATATCAGCAGTGTTGGCCTCAGAGGCCACGTACGCAAGTCGCAACTGACCACGCTGCTGCAGCTCACGAGCAAGAAAGTAGC